GGCCTGCAGTCTGTCCAGATCCCTCTGTAGTTCTGCCTGATCCTCGTATGGTTTAATTCTTCTCTTCAACTTCACATCATCTGCAAACAGGGACACCGGATTCTATTCTATCCATCATGTTCACAAATACAGTGGACCCCCTCATAACGATATTAATCCGTTCCTGAGAGCTCATTGTTATGCGAAATTATCGTTATGCGAATGAATTTTCCCCATAAGAAATAATGGAAATCAAATTAATCCGTGCAAGACACCCAAAAGTATGAAAAAAAAAATTTTACCACATGAAATATACATTTTCCTACACACAAAGAGAAGGATACATGCACAATAGTAGAGTAGTACATGCACAATATATATTGTGCATGTACTACTCTACTAAATGAAGAATAAATGACACTTACCTTCATTGAAGATGCAGCAATGACTGATGAGACAGTGTGTCCTGGGAGTGCCTTTTCCTCCTGAGTACTGTAGGTCCTGTTTGGCATTTTCTTCCAGAACAGGCCTTATCACACTGTGTATGCCACTACGATTCTTAAATCACTCAAACCAACCTTTGCTGGCTTTAAATTCACCAACATGAGCACTAGTTCCAGGCGTTTTTCCCTGTTCACCTGGGTGTTAGTCGACTGGTGTGGGTTGCATCCTGGGAGACAAGATTAAGGATCCCAATGGAAATAAGTTAGACAGTCTTCGATGACACTGACTTTTTTGGGTTATCCTAGGGTGGCTAACCCTCTGGAGTTAATTGTTTCTTGGTATTCTCAATAAGCCACACCAACAACGGTGCTACAGCAGCAGCAGCAGCAGATGACAGTGCTACAGCAGCAGCTGACAGTGCTACAGCAGCAGCAGACGATGCTACAGCAGCAGCAGACGGTACTACAGTAGCAGCAGCAGGCTGACGGTGAGTTACAGCAGCAGCAGCAGCTGACGTGCTACAGCAGCAGCAGCTGACAGTGCTCAGCAGCAGCTGACAGTGCTACAGCAGCAGCTGACAGTGCTACAGCAGCAGCAACGTCTACAGCAGCAAGACGGTGCTACAGCAGCAGCAGACTGTACTACAGCAGCAGCAGCAGCTGACGGTGGTACAGCAGCAGCAGCAGCTGACAGTGCTACAGCAGCAGCAGCAGCAGCAGCAGCTGACAGTGCTAGAGCAGCAGCAGCAGCAGCAGCAGCTGACAGTGCTACAGCAGCAGCTGACAGTGCTACAGCAGCAGCAGACGGTGCTACAGCAGCAGCAGACGGTGCTACAGCAGCAGCAGATGGTACTACAGCAGCAGCAGCATCTGACGGTGCTACAGCAGCAGCAGCAGCTGACAGTGCTACAGCAGCAGCAGCAGCAGCAGTTGACCATGGTACCCCAGTATTTCGATAACATTTCTCACCCTTTTTACCACAGGGTTGGCACTAGAAGCTTTCTTGGGGCCCATGGTCACTTATTTTGCAGATAAAATCACCAAAAACGCTGTAATAATACGAAATGTTCCGATTGTATGCTTGGATGTTACCGCGGAGGCTGGCTTGTAAACAATGCCACCGGCGGAACATGTGAGGCTGGCTGAGGCCGCACATTAGATGCGTCTCAGACGAATAGTGTTGAGCGGGTTTTTTAGCGGTATGCGAGGCAAAATCTTAGCGATAAAATGTATCGGTATGCGGATTTAACGTTATGTGATGCGAACGGTATGTGGGGGTCTACTGTACCAGAAACAGCACCGGACATAGGACTCATCCCTGTGGCACCCGGCTCATTACAGGCGCCCACTCTGACACCTCGCCACGTACCATGATTCGCTGTTGTCTTCCTGACAGGTATTCCCTGATCCATTGTAGTGTTTCCTTGTTATCCCTACCTGGTCCTCCAGATTCTGAACTAATCTCTTGTGTGGAACTGTGTCAAACACCTTCTTACAGCCCAAGAAAGTGTGTATGCACGTGCGTGCGTGTGTGTGTGTGTGTGTGTGTGTGTGTGTGTGTGTGTGTGTTGTGTGTGTGTGTGTGTGTGTGTGTGTGGTGTGTGTGTTAGTTACCATTTTGTCCTAGGCACATGTCGATTAGACACTAGGCCTGTTTGTGTGTGTGAGTGTGTGTGTGTGTGTGTGTGGTGTGTGTGTGTGTGTGTGTGTGTGTGTGTGTGTGTGTGTGTGTGTGTGTGTGTGCATTTTGTGTGTGTGTGTGTGTAGTGTGTGTAGTGTGTGTGTGTGTAATGTGTGTGTGTGTGTAGTGTGTGTGTGTGTGTGTAGTGTGTGTGTGTAGTGTGTGTGTGTAGTGTGTGTGTGTGTGTGTAGTGTGTGTGTGTGTGTGTAGTGTGTGTGTGTGTGTGTAGTGTGTGTGTGTGTAGTGTGTGTGTAGTGTGTGTGTGTGTGGTGGTAGTGTGTGTGGTGTGTGTGTGTGTGTGTGTGTGTGGTGTGTGTGTGTGTTTTGTGTGGTTTTGGGGTGTGTGTGTTGGTGTGTGTGTGTGTGTGTGTACTCACCTAGTTGAGGTTGCGGGGTCGAGTCCGAGCTCCTGGCCCCGCCTCTTCACTGATCGCTACTAGGTCACTCTCCCTGAGCCGTGAGCTTTATCATACCTCTGCTTAAAGCTATGTATGGATCCTGCCTCCACTACATCGCTTCCCAAACTATTCCACTTACTGACTACTCTGTGGGTGAAGAAATACTTCCTAACATCCCTGTGATTCATCTGTGTCTTCAGCTTCCCAATTTGTCCCCTTGTTACGTGTCCAATCTCTGGAACACCTTCTTTGTCCACCTTGTCAATTTCTCAGTTTTTTGTATGTCTTATCATGTCCCCCCCCTCTCCTGTCCTCCAGTGTCGTCAGGTGTTTTCCCCTTTTAACCTCTCCTCGAGGACTACCTTTAGCTCGGGACTACTCTTTTGCAAACCTTTTTACTTTTTCTAGTTTCTTTACGTGCTTTCTATTGTGGGGTTTCCCAAAATGGTGCCGCATACTCCAATAGGGCCTAAAGACACGGTGTACAGGGGCCTGAATGATTCCTTTAAGATGTCGGAATGCTTTCCGAGGTTTGCTAGGCGCCCATATGCTGAGCAGTTATTTGGGTTTATGTGCGCTTCAGGGATGTACCTGGGGTTATACTCACCCCCAAAACTTTTTTTTGAGTAGGGTTTTTATCTTGACCCCTTAACTGTACTCCTCTCGGCCTTCTTTCCCTTCCCCAAACTTCATGACTTTGCACTTGGTGGGATTGAACTCCAGAGCCAATGCTGGACCAGGTCTGCACCTGTCCAATCCCTTTGAGTTCTGCCCGGGTTTTGATCAAATGAATTCTTCTCATCAACTTCACGCATCGCAAACAGGGACCCTCAAGTTATTCCTTCCGTCATGTCGTTTTACAAATACCGAAAAAGCACTGTCCTAGGGCTGACCCTGCGGGGGCCCCCGCTGGTCACAGGTGCCCACTCTGACACCGCCCGTACCATTCTCGCTGCTGTCTTCCTGACAAGTTTCCCTGATCCATTGTAGTGCCTTCCCTTTTCCCTGCTTGGGCCTCCAGTTTTTTGCACCCAAACTTTGTGTGGAACTGTGTCCAAAAGCCTTTTGCATCCAAGAAGCCTGTTGTGTGTGTGTGTGGTGTGTGTGTGGTGTGTTTTTGTGGTGGTTTTGTGTGTGTGGGGTGATGTGGTGCGTTTTTGGTATGAGTTTGTGTGTATGTGTTGCGTGTGTGTGTATGAGTTTGTGTAGGTGGTGTGTGGTGTGTGTCTCGTGTGTGGTGTGTTGTGTGTGTGTGTGTGTTGTGTGGTGTGTGTGTGTGGGGTGTGTGTGTGTGTGTGTGTGGTGGTGTGTGTGTGTGTGTCGTGTCTGCATGTGTACTCCCTAATTGTAGTTGCAAGGGTTGAGACTCAGCTCCTGATCCTGCCTCTTCGATGAACACTACTAGGTCCTCTCTCTCCCTGCTCCATGAGCTTTATCATACCTCGTCTTAAAGCTATGTATGGCTCTTGCCTCCACTACATCGCTCGCCAGACTGTTCCACTTCCTGTCCACTCTATGACTGAAGAAATGCTTCCTAACATCCCTGTAGCTCATCTGAGTCTTCAACTTCCAAGAGTGACCCCTTGTTTCTGTGTCCCCTCTTTGGAACATCACGTTTCTGTCCACCTTGTCTATTCCACGCAGTATTTTGTATGTCTTTATCATGCCTTCCCTATCCCTCCTGTCCTCCAGTGTCGTCAGGCCGATTTCCCTCAACCTTAGCTCTGGAACTAACCTGGTCGCAAACCTTTGCACTTTCTCTAATTTCTTAACGTGCTTGACCCGGTGCGGGTTCCAAACTGGTGCTGCAAACTCTAGTATGGGCCTGATGTACACGGTGTACAGAGTCTTGAATGATTCCTTACTGAGGTATTGGAAGCTATTCTCAGGTTTGCCAGGCACCCATATGCTGCAGCAGTTATCTGGTTGATGTGTGCTTCCGGAGACATGCTCAGTATTATACTTACCCCAAGATCTTTCTCCTTGAGCTTGGTTTGCAGTCTTTGGCCACCTAGGCTATATTCTGTCTGAGGTCTTCTTTGCCCTTCCCTGATCTTCATGGCTTTGCATTTGGCATGGTTAAATTCAAGGAGCCAGTTGCTGGAACAAGCTTCCAGTTCATCCAGGTCTCTTTGAAGTCCTGCCTGATCCTCATCTGATTTAATTCTCCTCATCAACTTCATATTGTCTGCAAACAGGGATACTTCTGAGTCTATCCATGTGTGTCTTTGTTTATATCTTTGTGTGTACATGCGTGTCCACATGTGTGTCTGCGTGTGTGCTTGTATTCACAAGAATGCATACACGTGTGTGCTTTTCATTATTTCATTATTATACAAGTGAATAACTAAACACACACTCAAGGGTTAACCATATATCACTACTACTACAAATACTACAATAATAACAACAACAACTACAATAAAACAAAAAACAACAACAGCAACAACACTCAACATTAAAGCCTGCATTAAAGAACATAATACAATATTCCCTTACTTCACTAAAATTTACCTTAGGAAGACCAACAGGTTGCCGAGGCTTGGTTCTTGGAGATTTAAACAGTGCCTTCTGTTCACCCTTTAACAGATGATACTTCATAGCTTCTATTAGATAATCTTTGCCTGTAAGGAAGACATTGATTACTGTCAAGCAGATACCGATGATTCTTGTTGAAGCGCATGTTAAGCTCATCAAAATATTACTGAGTATTTTACTTTATGTGGATCAGTCAATGCAAGGTCTGAAAGAGGTTCAATGACTGGTGTAGGTTCAATGCTGGCACAGGTTCAGTGACTGGTGCAGGTTCAATGACTGATGTAGGTTCAATGACTGGCACAGGTTCAATGACTGGTGCAGGTTCAGTGACTGGTGAAAGTTCAATGACTAGTGCAGATTCAATGATTGGTGTGGGTTCAATGACTGGTGTGGGTTCAATGACTGGTGTGGGTTCAATGACTGGTGTTGGTTCAATGACTGGTGTGGGTTCAATTACTGGCACAGGTTCAATGACTGGTGCAGGTTCAATGACTGGTGCAAGTTCAATGACTGGTGCAGGTTCAATGACTGGTGGGGGTTTAATCCTTCATGCTGTAACCCTGACACACACACTACCTCCCAGTACTCACCTAAGTGTCTCAAATAAAAATGATATATTGTATATGTATTCTCCTTGGTGGGATACGGCCAGTTTGTTGAAAGAAAAATATACAGTGGAACCTCTACTTACGAGTACATCCACGTGCGAGTTTTTCCAGATACGAGCAGCTGCTCAGTCGAGTTTTTTGCTTCCAGATGCAAGCAAAATTTCCAGATCCAAGCAGTCCTCAAGGGAGGGTAACTGACATTGGTGAGGGGGCTCTTGCTCTTGATCTAGGAAATTGGATCTCAGTTGTTTGTTGCACTACCTTATTGAAACTTTGTCAATGATACGATGAAAAGATGCTTCTTAACATACACCAAAAATGAAAGAAATCGGACCATAAATAACAGAGTTCACTTCTCATTAGCCTCCCCTTAGCTATATATTTTTGTATGGTTTTTATGGTTGTAGCAGTGGCAGACATCATGAGGTAGCAGTGGCAGACAACATAAAGCAGCAGTGGCAGACAACATGAAGCAGCAGTGGCAGACAACAAGAGGTAGAAGTGGCAGACAACATGAAGCAGCAGTGACAGACAACACGAGATAGAAGTGGCAGACAACATGAAGCAGCAGTGGCAGACAACATGAGGTAACAGTGGTAGACAACATGAAGCAGCAGTGACAGACAACATGAAGCAGCAGTGGCAGACAACATGAAGCAGCAGTGGCAGACAACATGAAGCAGCAGTGGCAGATATCATGAGGTAGCAGTGGCAGACAACATGAAGCAGCATTGGCAGACATGAGGTAGTAGTGGCAGACAACATGAAGCAGCATTGGCAGACATCATGAGGTAGCAGTGGCAGACAACATGAAGCAGCAGTGGCCAAGTGTAGCATTAAGAGTGTAGCAATTAAGTGTAGCATTAAGAGTGTAGCAATTACGTGAAGCATTAAGAGTGTAGCAATTACGTGAAGCATTAAGAGTGTAGCACTTATAAGTCACTCTGTCTGACTTTTTTGGGTTATCCTAGGGTCTCTACACATGTAGTCAGGAGAAGGAATGGCCGCTGTGGTGGCCCTATAAACCCCAACAACAATGGCTACTGTCACGACCACTAGCCACATACCTAATGACATGTATTTTATTCATTCTAGTGTATATATCATGTTTCTATGTTATTTATATTGTTTATTATGTCATATTACATGAACTGTGATAGATAAATAAGCTGTAGAGTTGATATTAATGAAATTATTAAAAAAAAAAAAAAAAAAAATCTCGTGCCTGGAATTAAACTGCAACGAATAAATTCAATTTCAATTAATTTAAATGAAGAAAATTGACTATGAAAATGAGTAAATCCAGTTGCGAGCAAGGTCGTGGAACAGATTAAACTCGTAAGTAGAGGTTCCACTGTAATACAGCCTCTCCTCACTTAACAACGGAGTTCCGTTCCTAAGACCACGTCATTAAACTAATTCGATGCCAAGTGAGGAGCATACTATAATGGTAGTAAGTTTGTGTCAACCATCTTTGATATTGTTTTAATGTCACTTTTGTATCATATACTGTATAACATTTCTGGTATATTTTTAAATGTTTATACAGTAGTGCACTGTATACTGAAATAACAGAGTAGGGGAAATCAGCTCTAATATACATTATTTAGGTATAAACACTGGTCAGTGAGCCCGTCGTAAGTCCGAGGCATCGGTAAATGTGTACGTCGCTAAGTGAGAAGAGGCTGTATTCTCAAATGCCATTCTTTCCTAGACATTCCTTTATATTCACATAATGATTATAATCTTTAATGTTAAGTACAAAATCCATGCGAGTCATTCAGAGCAAGGAATGGTGGAAATCTGACCCTCTGCGTCCTAAGCATAATGGAAATTCTTCAAATTTGGAAATTCAAACTTTGAATCTGGATTATTAAAAATTCAAATTTTCAAATTTTAATTCAATGTTAATTATATTTTTCTAAATACAGAAGAACACTGCTAAACTGAAAACAATGAGGCCAGGATCCTTTTAAAATAGATATATACAATACACTCCATGGGGAAATGGAAAAGAATTCTTCCTCTGCAAGCTATGCATGTCATAAGAGGTGAATAAATGCTGGGAGCAAGAGGCTAGTAACCCCTTCTCCTCTATAAATTGCTAAATTTAAAAAGAAAAGCTTTTCTTCTTTTTAGGTCACCCTGCCTCGATGGAGGATGGCCAATGCATTGAAAAAAAAAAAAAAAAAACATACACTACAGGGTTAAAAATCAAGTAGGTGTCAGTTCTGCAGATTGGTTCTAGGGCAAGTCACCTGAGTGGTTTACACTGTAGAAACCATTAAAATCATCATAGTTCAATTTGGTAATGCTGGCAAAGTATTTTGCGGAAATCTCTTCCATTTATATTAGCCATGTGTCCCATATACAGCAAGATAAGTTAGATTCCAGTGACTGCTGTAAAGTAAAAATTGCTGTAAAGTGAATCACAGCATTTTTTTCATTTTCAAATACATACAAAAGCCTAATAATATGTTTATACAATCATATATTAAGTGAGCAATATAGCTAGGCCTTAAAAATACATATACAGTACACACTTTATTTTTAACATGCTGGCCGTCTCCCACCAAGGCATGGCGGCCCCAAAAAAGAAACTTTCACCATCATTCACACACAATCACTATTTTTGCAGAGGCATGCAGATATGACAGTTCAGTTGTCACTCCAAACAGCAAATATCCCAAACCCATCCTTCAAAGTGCAGACATTGTCTTTCCCAATTCCAAAACTCAAGTCTGGCTAACTAGTTTCCTTAAATCCCTTCACAAAATATTACCCTGCTCACACACCAACAATTCGTCAAGTCCCAAAAACCATTCATCTCCATTTACTCCTATCTAACATGCTCACACATGCCTGCTGTATACCCAAGTCCCTTGCACACAAACCCACTTCTACTCCCCTCCCTCCATCCTTTCCGAGGATGATCCCTATCCCTCCTCCCCTCCACTACAGATTTATATACGCTCCAAGTCATATTATTTTACTTCATTCATCTCTAAACGACCAAACCACCTCAACAACCCTTCCTCAGCCCTCTGAATAATACTTTTACTAACCCCACAATTCCTCCTAATTCCCACACTATGAATTCTCTACATAATATTTATACCTTACATATTATTTACTCTAAAATATTTCCATGCTTAGCTTATAATGAGTGATAAATATATTTATGGCAGGAGGTCTGAATAATGAAAAATGGGTATAAATGAAAACTGCTGTACTACTATTAGCAAAATGCTGTAAAGTGAAGTGCTATAAAGCAAAGTGCTGTAAAGCAGAGCCTGTCTGTAGTGCACAATTGAATTGTAAAATAGGCCAAGTATAGTGTTGGATGCATACGAATGGAGCACTAAGGTGAGGGAGGTAGTAGGAGGGGCCAGTTTGGCTTCAGGAGAAACAAAAGCACAAATGATGCAATAATAAAAATACTAGACCTACTATACAGAGCACTGAAAAAAAACGAATAGTACCTGCTTAGACTCTATTAACCTTAAGAAAGCTTTTCATACAGTAGATCACAGCATCCTACTCCTCAAGCTTGATCATTACAGAATAAGAGGACATGCACTTGCATTTATCAAGTCCTACCTTACTAACAGAAAGCAATGCATCTCTGTCAAGGACACACCCTCCTCAACAAGACCCCTGGACACTGGTGTACCAAAGGGTAGCATTCTTGGCCCCCTCCTTTTCCTTTTATGCATCAATGAACTTCCAAGTGTATCACAACAACTTATGCCTACTCTCTTTGATGACGACATGACTTTTGTCATCTCCCACCCAAATCTTGCCTCACTCAACGAAGAACTCGCAAAAATAGCAACCTAGTCGACCGTCAATAAACTTACACTTAATATAGACAAAACCTTTTACATTATGTTTGGGAGTAGAGCAAGTGAGGACCAACTAAACATTATGCTTAACAACACCTTTATTGCTAAACATGAGGGAAAATTCCTAGGTCTGCACCTTGATAGCAACCTGAAATTCAACACCCATATCGAACACATAACAAAAAAAAAGTTTCTAAAACAATTGGCATCCTCTCAAAGATACGTTACTACGTACAGTGGAACCCTGGTTTTCGTCCAGTCCAGTTATCGTACAATCCAGTTTTCGACCACTTTTTTCGACAAAATTTTCCCCGTTTTTGTACATCTGCTCGGAAATCGTCTATCAGACGTGTCCACCTGCCCACGGGATGCGGCCGCTCATACGTTCATGGCTTAGTCTGCCTTTGTTACTCGTACAGTGAGCATTACTCTGCAGTTTCATCCAAAACAAGACCTTCATCTGGAACAGCAACAGACCTTAGCTGAGGAAATTGCTTCAGAGGAGGAAGAAAGGGAAGAATGTGCCTTCTTCAACAATTAAGGACATTTGTGCAAAGTGGAGTAAGGTGCAAAGTTTTGTGGAGAAATATCACCCTAACAAAGCTGTTGCAAGCCACGTCCCATTTCAGGCAA